ACTTAGAACCAGCTCTTTAATATCAAATTCCTGCTTTAAATAACTAACAATTAGATCTAATATTGAATTTGATTCTGACATTATTAGAGCATCATCTACATACAATATTAACAAAGCTTTAATGCCATTAAAGTTACCAACGAACACACAATTGTCTGCTTGTGACTGCACAAACCCAAACTTTAACAAAAAATTAGTAAACTTCTGATTCCAGCAACGAGATGCCTGTTTTAGACCATACACGGATTTATTCAATTTACATATTTTATTTTCTGGTGCTTTCACTCCATCTGGAACCACCATAAAAATATCCTCCTCTAATTCTCCATATAAAAAAGCTGTCTTGACATCTAATTGTCTTAGATTCCAATTATATTCAGCAGAGATGGATAACATTATTCTTATTGATTCATATCTTGTAGTAGGTGAAAAAATTTCATTGTAATCTATCCCTTCAATTTGTGTGAAACCACGGGCACAAAGTCGAGCCTTATACCTTTCCACTTTACCATCTTTAGTTCTTTTGATACTAAAAACCCATTTTGATGTTATTGCTCTCTGGTTTTCATTATTCACAAAACTCCAGTGTTATTGGTACGATGAGCTTCTAACTCTTCATTTATAGCCTCCAGCCACAATTCACTCTCTTTACCGTTGATTGCGTCATTGTAACTCACAGGTACATCCAATTCCATTAAGTTTGCCTCATGATCATTATTTCTACGTGGTCGCAAAGTAATATATGAACGATCCGTATCCAAAAGATCAATTTCCTGCGAAGGTTCATAGGTCTCATCGTTTTCATCATTGGCAGTATGTGTGCTGTCATCACTTTCAGTCAACTCAGTATTATCTATCTCCTCTTCAGCATTTTGTTCATCGTTATCCCCTATAAAGATCTGAGCTTCATTACGTTTTATTTCAGGACTTTTCTGTTCATTGAAAATAACATTCCTCGATATTGTAATTCTTTTTGTGATTGGGTTGTACATTTTGTAATTTGAATCATCATATCCAACTAGCATCATTTTACGACTTTTACTATCCAGCTTCTTTCTCAACTGATCTGGCACATGGACATATCCTTCGCATCCAAACACTCTGACATGATCTAGACTGGGTTTAACACCACTCCACAACTCCATAGGGGTGATATTTGGGGTCTGGCTTGAAGACGTCCGATTCAATAAATAGACAGCACAATTTACTGCTTCTGCCCAAAGATTGAGTGGTACCTTACGGGCATAAAGCATGGATCGCGCACTTTCAACAATTGTTCTCATCTCTCGTTCTGCTCGACCATTTTGTTCAGGCGTGTATGGAGCAGTGAGCTCATGGGAGATCCCCTCACAGTCAAGATATTCTTTAAAGTCTTTGCTTGTGTACTCTCCGCCGTTATCAGTGTGCAGTATGCGTACACTATGTGAAAACTTGTTTTTGATTATTGAGTTATATTTCTTGAAACAGTTTAACACATCAGATTTATTCTTTAAGAAATACACATATCTAAAACTTGTAGCAGCGTCTTTAAAAATAACAAAGTATTTCATACATTGTACAGATGGCACACTGAATGGTCCACAGACATCACTGTATACAACATCACCTGGTTGCTGTGGTCCTCTGTTTGATTTCTTGAATGGTAGACGAGCATGCTTACCATAAGCACAACCCTCACACACAAACTTGTCACAGTCTGACAAGTCTACACCAGTAATCACATTGTTTTTGCACATTTTCTGTATTTCTTTGACATTTAAATGCCCTAGACGTTCATGCCACGTTTTAAGGTCCAATTTTTGCACTACATTACACACTGGATTTTGGAGCGTTTTCATCTTTAACTCATACAGGTTGTTGCTTTGCAAAGATGCACACAGCACTAATTTCTTGTCCTTGTATATTAAAGCATCTGTATGTTTCTTTATAATGTTATAACCTTGTCTTGTCACTACTCCTTCAGAAAATAGGTTTCTTCTCAACTTTGGCACATATAGAACATTTTTCAGGATACTCGTCTCCCACTGTCCATTGACACACTTGTCTATCAATATATTTCCTTGGCCAACTACTTCTATCGCTTCTTGGTTTCCAAGTTTCAGCGGAGAGCCCGTATATTCATACAATTCAGCGAAATTTTCACGTTTATAACACATGTGAGCTGAGGCACCGCTGTCTAATATCCATTTTAAACCATCATCATTATTTTTCCAATCTGCATCTGCTACATTGAATGCTAACATGTTCTTTTCTCCTTGTTGTTTCTGGTTTTGTTTTGGGGCACGGCAATCTTTTGCATAATGACCGCGTTTCCCACAGTTGTAACATGTAAGATGATGTGACTTCTCATTTGACCCTTCACTTAGCTTTCCTTTTCCTTCTTTGTTTGTTTTCTTTAATGGAACAGTTTTCTTCTTTATATTTTGTTTTGCCACTATTAAAGCAGTTTCATTTTCTTCTTCTACATTCAAGCTGGCCTCTTCATCTAGCAAACGAGCAGTCAGATTGATTACAGTTTGACTATTCGGATCAAGCGACATCCAAGCCTGGCGAACAGATCTGTACTTGGGAGGTAATGTGCTCAAAATTTTAGTTATTATTGCAGTTTCACTAACAACTTCTCCACTTTCTTTAAGTTGCTTAGCTAAACTTTCTACTTTAGCTATATGCTGAGCTATGCTGTCTGCTGGTGACATTTTATACTGATAGAAACGCTCATGTATCATCATCTTAGTCATCTCGGATTTCTGTTCATAAATGGACTCAAGCTTAGTCATCACCTCTAGCGCTGATTCGCAATTTTCGATGAGTGCTATTTGATTTAAGTCCATGGCAGACGTCAATATAAACATCGCCATACCATCATCTTTATTCCACTGAATCGCATTTCCCGCTGGTCTTGGCGTGTTAATATCTAACCCCTTGGCACGCAGAGTACATTTAATTTGGAATTTCCACTGTTTAAAATTCGTTCCATCGAATTTTTCAAGGTTTGTCTTTCCAAGCTCCATTTTTAGGTTATAGGTGGCACGTAGTTCTATTGTCGAAAAATTACTAAGCACCTTTCTGTTTTCTCTGCTCTTTGTTTATCACCAACTATTAATTAACGTGGACCTGGGCCCATAACCTGTTGAATTATTGTATAATAAACAAGACTTCTATTCGTTTGAACCTTATAAACGTTTTTATTAAACAATTCAAACAGTGCACAGTAAAAGGTTTTACAATCCTTCACCAAAAAAAAAAAAACGCAGTGCCCTCTGGCGTTACAATATAGACGTAAACGGACAAATGAAAAGTAGCCTTACAGCCCAGAATTAATTATAAAATTTCATCCAATATTAATTTTCTTAAAAACTGTAATTACTGTGTAATTCACATAAAACTCTTAATTTTCACTGTTGTTTATGTTTACACAATTTCCAAACGTCAATTATAAACACCTCAATTAAAAAAAAATACTTAAGTTAAAGGAAAAATAAATTATAGCTGGAAAACGGGGTGGGCCCTATTTTGTTTTGAGTAGTTTATAATTCTTAGTTGAATCGCATTGTATAGTTTGTTATGAGCACTACCGCACTAGATCTGCGACTGAGACTGCGGCCAGGCCGTGACCAGCCATTCTCAGTATCATGCGGACAGTTGGACAGTGAACAAGCTATGTATCATTCTGCAACTCAATACGGCGTCGTTTCTTTCTGCAATGCGTTTGATACAGAGTTATTTATTAATGGAATAAAGAAACAACCAGCGATGTGGCCGCTTTACGACCAGTCGTGGTCGTGGCCGCAAACTTGGCCGCAGTCCAACCGTATTTGCTGCGAAGGTTGCGGCCACCTAGTTTGTGGTCGTCTAGTACGCGAGGTGCCTAAGTGTAACAATCTTCCTACAACCTCGATCCAAATCAGGTTTTCATTGAACTAAACACTGGAAAAGATTCCTGGAAAACTATAAAATTCTGAAACAATAAAACTCGTTTTCTATTGGATGTTTAAGAACACGAAATCTGAACCAATGATCTAAAACGGTTTTGTTTATTACTTTTGTTTTGTTTTGTTTTTAATTATCGAAAAGTTAAGTTCAGGGAAAAGAAGGAATCGGTGGAATAGGAAATTTTACCACGAAGTAATTTACCTACTTCAATAAAACTTAACAAAACGATCGCGGTGTATTTTTCTCACTCGACTTGATCTCTCATTGAAAATGCATAATCTTGAAATAGTCTAGACAGTGAAAGATTGTGGATTCGAGTCACGCCTGAAATAGTCTGATTGTAGCGAACTGATAATACAGATGATATAGTCGACTTTGCAAGTTCTTTTTAGGGTGCCGCGCCAAAAGGCACCCTATTACTAAGACTCCACTACATTGTCCGTTTGTCAGTCTGTCTATCTGTCAGGCCAGGCAGATAGACAGAAAATCGCATGAACCGTGATAGCTAGACAGATGAAATTTTCACAGTTGATGTATTTTTGTTGCCGCTATATCAACAAATGTGATTTTTGCTCGATATTAATACCAGCAACAGGCAGCCGCTTGAAATATTCACTGAATATTAAGTCGTATATTTACTTTTAATATAGATAATTAAATTAAAAAATAATAATAAATTAGAGGCTCCCATACGTCAGACGTGGATTTTTGCCCGTTTTTGCTTGATGAATGAATGAATGAATATTCTTTATTGCACTATTTAACAAATTATATAAAACATAAAACTCAAGGAACATAAACACAAAAAGCGGCCTTATTGCTAAGGTAGCAATCTCTACCAGGATATTATAATATACATAGCGTCTAATGTTGTATAGATAAATGGTATTAAAGCTTTGTGCGCGAGTCCGTCTCGCACTTGTCTGTTTTTTTTTTAAATTTAAGCTTGCCTGTCTGATAGGAATTTACTATAGGCTCTAACTTTGTACTAATTTGAAACCTTGTCTACAGATCATACAACCATGTGATGACCGGTCGCAGTCATCGAGGAAACAACAGCTGATCTAACGTCTACAGTGAATATTCAAGATGGCGATTAATTCCACCTTGGTTAGGACTCTTGCGCCCATACTGCTATCCGATGATGAAGTCAGTAATTCTACGGAGGTTTCGCCGCACCGACACGATGGGAAAATGATGTTTACTGTGATAAAAGTGGTGTACGCCATCGGCATAGTGGGTAATGCTTCCGCGATTGTGGCGTTGCGGTGGGGCGAGAGAAGAGTCAGAAACAGAAAGCACCTGTTGCTTCTGACGTCGTTGGCAGCTAATGACTTAGTCGCTTTGGTAAGCTATGACCATTTCTATTTATTGCTTGGGAAAACTGCTAGTACTAACGAGTTAAAATTCCAAGCAAATTTTCCAATACTTTGGTAGAGATGAGAGTTGAGCCTGTAGGGCCCACGTTACGTGGGTAGAAAAAATATATACTTTATAATTTTTATTTTTTTAAAGCATGTAACTGATTGATGTTTAAATCTAAAGAAACTATCTAAATAACTATAATTGCTATTTCTTCTTTCAAATATTTAATACTTGTAAAAGTATTCATTTGACAGTGTGGGTTACCTATAATGCGAAGACATGGCGCTGCCTTGCAGCTTAAGAATGGCTAGAGGAATTTTGACGCGGTCCGTGAGGGCCGTGGTAGCATAATTGATCAGTGCATTCGCCCGGATTGCGAAGGGTACGGGTTCGAGTCCCGTCCGCTGCCTGGTCCGCGTGGAATTTTTTCAAGTTATATTTTCTTTAGATTTAAATATATACTTTGACAATATCTTTACACACACTTGGTATATAAACAAATAATTTTAACACACACATCAATTAACCTAGTCTCAAAGTAAGTTGTGTGTTATCGGATACTAGGGTTACGGATAGAATACACAAATAAGTATAAATCACATTAAGACATCCAGGACTTGTACAAATGCATCGCATTCATCATACAAATATTTGCCCCACCGGGATTCGAACCCGGGACCTCTGAGTAGTTGACACATCGAAACCCAGTGTACACATACCAGTCACACTATTTAAGTCGACTGATATAAAATCTATGTTGATTTTTCAGTCGATCAGTTTTCACTGATCGTGTAAAGTTATGGCAGAATGTTCGTAGTTCCCGCGGCAGCGCTACCAGTTTGAATGTGTTTCTGACTTTAAAATAAGACAAGATTTTACTTCCGCAACCAGTTGACCTCCGTGGCCGAGTGGTTTGTACGCCGGGTTTCATGGTGTCACCAACTTGAATGGTCTCGGGTTTCGAATCCCGGTGGGGCAGATGTTTGTGATATGTATTTCTATATAAATATAATTATATAAATGTACAGTATATGTATTCTATCTGTTACCCTTGTATCCCATAACACAAGCCTTTACAGTGCTTACTTTGGGGCTAGGCTAATTGGTGTGAGTGTTGAAAATATTTATTTTATTATCTGATTTGTACGGGACGCCGGACTGTCGCAGTAGCGGACAGTTACCGACTCGTACTGAGGGGTGGAGGAAGTTACACGCAGGAGTCTTGATTGTAGTGGACTGTAGTTTCGGCGAATAAAACCCCTGATGTTCGGTATTGAAGAAATCGGTGGGCGCTGATAATGGATGGCCGGTGAGAGGAGGCTTCAGGTCCAGAGTGAACCGCTTGATTGTTTCTTCCTGTTCCTTAGGGTAGGAGCGCCTGTCGCTGAATGCATGTCGGAGCATGTTCCGACTCGAATTTTATATGCTAGGACTGAGCTGGCCAGCGATCCATTACCTCACCCACGCTATACTTTATTTTTCATTTTCTCAAAAATTACAATAGTGCGAGCTTAAAACTAATTGTACATACATCGGGCATACATTTAGGCATATTTTTAACACAGTTATGTGTCCGTAAACACGATATTTTAGGTGTGGCGCGCAAAAAATAGGTCTCCGCAATATTTATACTTTCCCCCTCCATAGGGCTTCGCCCTGCCACGGGGCTTCGCTGCCCCACCCGCGCGCTCCGGGCGCGCCGGGTGGGGAGCGCAACATGTCTCAGAAAACGGTTCTATACAGACATGTTTTGTCTCCTACACGGTACATTTTTACACTTATTGATGTGATACCTATTTATTTACGTAGCCCTACGCGTTACCTATCTAATACAACAAGTTTCTTACAAGAATATCAATAAACAACAGCTCTACGGCCCTATAAAGTTTACAAATTAAAAAGTCTTAAAAAACCTACTTATGTTCACTTAATGCCTAACTATCATATACCGTTTCATAGAAGAAGTAAAAACACACAAAATAACATCGTTATTATAACAATTATACCTATATCCTATTGACTATTCGTAAAAAACTATTCCCAATATTTTCCTTAATTACGCTTAAACTACTAACACGATTCATACAAAACTTTGATATATTATTCCTATAACTACCTACTTTCTAATAAGACATAAAATAAATCAATCAAAACATAAAACATACTATTATCGAAAACTATCAACTCAGGCAAAATCCTATAAGATGTGAGACAAGGACAACCTATTGTCTCCGTCCCTCCTATAGGTCGGAACTATCAGTATTCTGACTAGTTTCCCCGCGCCACCGCTTGGCGTCGTGGCGATCGTTTAGATAAAGTCTTATAAGATTATTGGAGAGAACGGGGCGGAATATCGCTCTGAACTATCAATTTTACAATGGTTTACTATGGGCAGAGCTATCTATTATTGCGATATCCGACTCATTCTAATAAGACAACAAGGGAATGATATTTTTAATGCGTATACAACCGATTCATGTGAAATTATAGATACATTTTTATACATTGTTCTCGTATTGTCGTAAGTTCATTTTCTCTCGCTTCGGTCGTCGCGTACATTATTTAATTTAGTTCGTACATGGAAAAATAACAAATGAAAAACCAAAAATAACCCGAATACAAAGCAGCCGCATTACATATACTTTGTTAACGTTAACATCTAGTTTTGAGGTCAAATCAAATTTCATTTTCTTATAAATTGATAGGTTAAGATTTTTTTTGCATATTTGCCGAAGAACCGATAACCGTTGGGGTAGACGAGTTCTGAAGTGGAGACCGCGTCTAGGCAAACGTAGTGTGTAGGACGTCCTCAGGCACGGTGGAGTGAAGATTTGCGCAAGGTGATGCGAGTAGCCCAAAAATCGATCTAAGTGGCGTGCAATTGGAGAGGCCTATGTCCAGCAGTGGACTAGGTTAGGCTGTTGATGAAGATTTTTTTAATTTGATAATTAGCTTTACAGATATTTGCTTTCAAACCCAAACTTACTAAGTTTGATTATTTAATACGTATTATGAAGGCTTATTTTTAGATTTTGTGGTTTACGTATTTTTTTCTTTTTTTTTTGTAAGAAAAATTTCGAATTCCCTGAAGTACAAGGAAACCATTGATTATTATAGGCGGTGAAGAAAAGTCAGGAAAGAGAAACAAAAAAGTTATAAAAAACTTTTTGTTTCTTTAGATATAAAAAAAACTTCCGTACTTTGGCTGATTAGAATACAAATTGTCTATTCAATGTAAACAACCAACTTATCTGTGTTGTCTTGAATCTGGAAGTACAACTGCTGTTATTACTGTGTTTAGTACAAAGTCGTTGCCCTGCCCATTATTTATTAATTTTATGTTTTAATGATAGTTTTATTGTTGCTATTTCATCATTATCACCAGCCTTTCACACTGCTGAGGCAAAGAAATTCCAGGAAGAAATAGGATAAACTGATCATAACCAAAGTCAAGTCAAACCATGCCAAATTCCTTTACCGCCCAACACGCCCCAGAAACAAGTTTCACCCCAATCATGTCGACGCTTGGCTTTCTGGCAATATAGGTGTGCGTTATTACAGTGCGTTCCTTTTCCTGCGTACCAGAAAGATCTGTAACGAACTTCCTTCAGGCGGTTTCCCTGTTAGCTATGATAAGTTTTCAAAAGTCGGGTAATTTGCCTTCAAAGTTTTTCGTGCTGCAAGTGTGCATGAGTGGCAGTGACCACTTACCATCAAATGGACTGCCATCACGTTCTCCAGCATAAACATAAACAAAAAATGTATTGAAATTGGATGCACAATACGGCTGGCCCACAGGTTCAAAGTCGCTCAGCGCGCTATGAAAAGGGCTTTGCTCAGCGTTTCTCTGAAGGATCGCATCAGAAGTGAAGTAATTCGACAGAGAACCAGAGTTATCGACATAGTCCACCGGATTAGCAAGTTGAAGTGGCAGTGAGCTGGCCATATTTGCCGAAGAACCGATAACCGTTGGGGTAGACGAGTTCTGGAGTGGAGACCGCGTCTAGGCAAACGTAGTGTAGGACGTCCTCAGGCACGGTGGAGTGACGATTTGCGCAAGGTGGCTGGCAGGAGCTGGATGCGAGTAGCCCAAGATCGATCTGAGTGGCGTGCATTTGGAGAGGCCTATGTCCAGCCGTGGACTAAGATAGAATGATGAAGATGATGATGCACAATACAATTCTTTTCGATCTTCCCAATTTCTTCCCTCCCTTAATAGTAGGAGAAAATTATTACTATTACTTTAGGACATTTCTGGAGCGAGGAGTTTCCTATATAAATGATTGGTTTTCCATCCCACGACCGGACATTGTGAAAGTTGCTTAATTTTCACGACCGTAAACTAAACGCGTTTACTACTGAGCCTTCAAGCTTCTTTAGCGCGACGTAAATTAATGAAAGCTACCCAAAATAATCGTACCATATTTATTTTTAGAAACAAATAGTGAAACATGAAATGGTGAATCTGTTTATGAAGTTTTGTAAATTAGACTCGGTTTTACGTACGGTGTAAGGTAGCTTACAAACAATAAAACTACGTTTACTGCTGTGAGCTACACCAAAATCATAAAATTTGATACGAATCAGAAAGTGTCGTTCTATTTTACGATGCCATTTCGCAGGAAACGTAAGTTAGGAACTTGAATCATTTTAGAGTTTTGTTCTTTCTTTGTAATTAATTTAGAGTTTCCATACCATACGTCCTCCGTCAACATAACTTGATATATATTTATATTTACTTTTTTAAGTCGAACACCAATTAGCTTTGGCCCAAAGTAAGCACTGTAAGGCTTGTGTTATGGGATACTAGGGTAACGGATAGAATACATATATTGTACGTATATAGGTATATTTTTATAGAAATACATACATATTAAACATCCATGACTGGAGTACAAATGCTTGTATTCATCACACAAGCATCTGTCTCCACCGGGATTCGAACCCGGGATCTGTCGAGTCGGCGACACCATGAAACTCGG